AAAAGGAATACAAGCAAGTATTCTTATAGCTATAGCACCCTTTTAACTAGTTAGGTCGCTGTCCCCCCGCCCCCCCATTTCTACAAAGTGATGCCATTTTACTTACATTTTCTTATCTCACATAACTGCTCTCCACACAGTCATCCTGACTGCAAGGTTGAGATCATAGGAAAGCATTGGAAGTCCAGTGCTCATAAACGGAAAAATTCCATGCTCACCCAATCAGAAGGTCTCTATGCAGGAATTAAACAACAGGGACATGTCACCTAGACCACTTCATTGAGAGTACCTATAGTGTCACTTTAATTACACTAAGTATTTTCAACATACTTCAAAGATTCACACATGTTCATCCACATTTTCCCCCCCCAATTTATATCTACCGCATGTTGATATTTTATTTACATGCAATGTGAGTGCAAGGTATTAATATGTACAAAGGATCAGCGCTACTATACTAGATCTTACAGAGATAAATATAAGGCAGCACACCTGAGCAATAGGGCTCCCTCACAGGCCCTATAGAATAGACAAAACTAAAAAAGGTGAAGGGGGAGGCGGTGCCACAGGTGAAATAAAATATAAATAAATAAATAAACCTATTATAAACTATACAAGCACATATACAAGACAATATATAAGAGAAAATACATACAAGATAAAAAAACAAAAAGAGTTTGAAATATGGATAATAAATAATAATCAAGAGTCCAAAGATTAAATCCAAAAGAGTCTATGCCTGATAAATGCAGCAAATGAAGTCCAAATAAAACCTTGTATAAGAAGTCAATCACAATCTTGTCAGGGGAAGTATTCCTCAGTAACGTATGGACATGGGATATTCGTGAAATCCATATGAAAAAAATGAAAAGACAGCAAATAATGGTGCAGTATATCCCAACAGGAACTAAGTACTGTTTTTAGAGGTCTATATGGTCCTACTCACGTTTTCCAGAGCTATAAGACTAGCTCTAGTGTGGATGGCATACAGTGGTACAATCCCAATTATGGGATACGTGAAGTTTTGTAGTAGATGGATATCTTTTTGGTATAAGGACCATATGAAATGTAAACAATAATAGTGCTTATTGTATAAATGCCAGAGGTGAAGTAATAAAATACCAAGTGGTTACATTTTATTGAGCAGGCAGACTGCTCAATGGATAAAGCTTGAGTGGTATAATCCCCACCAAGGATTCTTTGGAGTAAAATTTTCACTGGAACAATAAAAACTCTGGTGCCAGGTAAAAATAAATAAAAGAGTAAAATGGCTGACTCACAAGTTGAAAGTGGCCAAAATACCTTTAATAAAATACAGCAATTAAAATACAGCAAATCATTTCTCCCCTTAGGGATTTCTTTTTATCCACTTGAGAAAGCTCTAAGGGGAGAAACGCATTATTTATTTATTTATATTTTATTTCACCTGTGGCGCCGCCTCCCCTTAACCTTTTTTAGTTGAGTGCAAGGTATTGTCTGTGAGAGTGACTGCACATGAATTAATGTGAGATGACCGAAGGGGAACAGGGAGTGAGTTGAATGATCAGGAGGAGATAAGTTGGAGATGGTGAAAGGAGATAGAGTATATGTAAGACATGACAAAGAGTAAGAAGAGTCCTTGTACACAGAGGTTTTTTCAGGAGTTTCAGCAGTATTTTTTTGGAAAGAGGATGAGAATTAAAAAAAAAAAAAACAGGTATATTGTATGGAAAAATGAAAAGGGGGTTCTTGAACTTTAGGCCAGCTATAGTTCAGTCAATTATAATTCATAATGCTGAAAAGTGGTCCTGGTCAAGAACATGTTGGACAATTAAGTACTTTTGTTAGCAGTGACAAAGGCAAAATGATTCTGTTGCATGACAGCAAGTAGTGGAGCAACAGCTAATGCTTTAAATAGTATGTGACTCTTATGAAAACCAGAGTCCATCATTCAAAAGAGGTTTTCATTTATTTTAGTATACATTTTGCAAGAGTTGAAGAGAGTTGAAAAAACTCATCATTAAGGTAAAAACACTTGGATGCTTGTTTGCAAAATCCAGAGTTGTTTCAATGCTATTTTTTATGTAGTGGCATGCTGGGGGAGGTGTGAGGATGTTCTGCCCTGGGTGACAGGTGGCAAGAGTATGCACAGAGCATAACCTTCCTGCCTGAGCAGGCAACTACATATTAGCACCTTACTGGCAGAGCTGCCATATGACAGGTGCATGTTCTGTGACTTTTTGAGACGGTTGAGGTGTGGGGAGCCAAGGGGGCTGCTGGGAACCCTCTACACTGATTTCCAAGCTCTCTCATGCACCCAGAAATCCTGCTGGAGCCAGGATATTGTCATCCCAGCCTTGGCAACAATACTATCTTTTTTTGTATTTCCCCCATTATCCTTATTATGCTTTTGGATTGAATATTTTAATTTAACCCCTTAAGGACGGCGCAGGGCGGCATAGAACGCCCAATCCGTCCTATCCGTCCTATGTACTTACCCGGTCACGGAGCCCAGGGAGTCCCCCTCTATCCTCTTCGCCCCCCTGGGCCATGTGATCACGAGGTCCTTGCGAGGACTTCATGATCACATGGACGGCATAGCCGTCCAAGGCTTTGCCAGCAGGGGGAGTGCCTGGAATGACAGGTACTCAATCCTGCTGTCTGAAAATAAATAAAATAAAAGTTAAATCAGTGTAAAAATAAATAATATATACTTAGATCATATATATTTAATATATATATGATCTAAGTATATATATACACATATACACACATACACATAAATACACATACACTGTCTAAGTGTATGTTAATATTAATATATATATAATTATAAATATATATTAATATCAAAATACACGTACAATGATATTGATTAAATATATATATATATAATTTTCATTATATATATATTTATATATAATATAAAATAAATAAATCTGTAAATACGTTAAAAAATTAAATAAAAAATAATAAAAAAATGAATAAATAAAAAATATATATACATGTGTAAATTCGTTCTAACTGTATTTTAAAATTAATATATATATATTGATATCAAAATACATGTCGAACAAAATAATATATATATATATATATATATATATATAAGTATATACGTATATATCACTATATATAAATAAAAATAATTTTAAAAATTATATACATATATATAATTCTACGTATATATTTATGTAATAATTTTACATAATTTTACATAATTAGGTAATTTTATTAATTACAATTAGCAGGACCAGCCTGACAACCCAGGCCAAAAGTCCAGGGAATTTAATTTGCTAGCACTATATTTAACCCTGTAACTTTCCAAGACACCATAGAACCTGTACATGGGGGTACTGTTTTACTCGGAAGACTTCGCTGAACACAAATATTAGTAACATGTATTACAACGATGATATTGTCAGTGAAAGTGAAATTTTTTGAATTTTTCACACCCAAATGGCACTTACACGGACAATATAATTGTTGTGATACGTTTTACCATTTTGAAACACTAATATTTGTGTTCAGCGAAGTCTCCCGAGTATACCAATACCCCCCTCATGTACTGGTTTAATTATGTTTTCAAAAGGTAGAGAGTCAAATATAAGGCTTGCGTTTCAGTTTTTTCCCATTGAAATTCGCCAGATTGGTTACGTTGCCTTTGAGACCGTACGGTAGCCCAGGAATGAGAATTACCCCCCATAATGGCATACCATTTGCAAAAGTAGACAACCCAAGGTATTCCAAATGGGGTATGTCCAGTCTTTTTTAGTAGCCACTAACCACAAACACTGGCCAAAATTGACATTCAAATTAGTTTTTTGCATTTTGAAATATTAACACTAAGTTTGGCCAGTGTTTGTGACCAAGTGGCTACTAAAAATGACTGGGCATACCCCATTTGCAATACCTTGGGTTGTCTACTTTTGCAAATGATATGCCATCATGGGGGTAATTCTCATTCGTGGGCTACCATACAGTCTCAAAGGCAACGTAACCAATCTGGCGACTTTCAATGTGAAAAAAATGAAAAATGTAACATGCTATATTTGACCCTGTAACTTCCCAAAACACCATAAAACCTGTACATAGGGGGTACTGTTTTACACATGAGACATTGCTGAATACAAATATGTGTATTTTATTGCAGTAAAATCAAACAGTATTATGACATTCAAAGTTAGAATGTCACGTAGAACTAAAAAATTTTTTAAAATTTTTATTTTCTCCCATTTTTTTATTTTATTCATATTAAATTATGTTTTATACCTAAATATTTGATGTTAAATGGAAGCCCTGTTTCCCCTGAATAAAACTATATATAATAAGTGTGGGTGCACATAAAATGAAAGAGGTGAATTACGCCTGAACAGACATATAGCACAAATTAAAGTTTTTGTTTACGTTTTGTTTTGATCACAATGTGTACATTTGGCTCAGTCCTTAAGGGGTTAATTCACTCTGATTATTACATTTAATATTTATCCCAACATATGAGTATAGATTTGTTTCATAAGTATTGTTTTATTTAAAACAAGTTGAATTAATTCTTTTAGAATGTGCATGTATTTATTTCATGTTATTAATTTCCTTATCTTTATATTATAGATCCTATATCAGGTTTTTAGTGATTCTAGGCATACTCCCTGTACAGGTTATTTAAAAGACACTATTGGAAATGGACCATTGTCTTGAAAAAGTCTCATACAGAGACGAAACGCGTAGACACTTTGTTCATCTATGTTGCTTACATCCGGACTTGCGATCTGTTCCTTTAAGGCAGCCGCGGCCTTGTTTGAAATTACCGGCCGCGGCTTACCACGCTCTTCCATCTTAATGAGCTCGGCTCTATGTAACAGAGTGGGCTAGTTCACTCAAACAGCACAGCTGTGGTATGAGTGTTTACTTACACTTGCATCCTGTGACTTAAGGGGTTGAGCTTGCAGCACATCTGGATACCTGGAATCCACTGCTTGTATCATACCTGATCATGGAGTTGAACCCACATGAATAAGTAGAGCAAAAAACGGGTCGCAAGAGTATTCTGAGAACGGACAGCAGCTAAAATAGCCTGCCCTTCGGTGGGTCCCCGCTCAGAACTCAAGCTGGTTTTAGCTCATCTTGTGCCATTACAGAGAGAACATATCTGAAGCATATCAGACTGGTCCCACCCATACGGGCAGTCCAGATCTGAAATGCCAGCAAGTTCTCTCTGCACGAGAGATACAGCAACCCCAGACGATCGTTTCAGCCTTGTTAGGCATCATCAGTGAGGCATAGCTGATATCTCTCTAGGCACCGTGAGCAAGGGGTCCACGTCTGGATTACCCTTTAAACTAATGGAGAGCAAAAATGGGTCGCAAAAGTATTCTGAGAACGGACAGCAGCTAAAATAGCCTGCCCTTCGGTGGGTCCCCGCTCAGAACTCAAGCTGGTTTTAGCTCAACTTGTGCCATTACAGAGAGAACATATCTGAAGCATATCAGACTGGTCCCACCCATACGGGCAGTCCAGATCCGAAATGCCAGCAAGTTCTCTCTGCACGAGAGATACAGCAACCCCAGACAATCGTTTCAGCCTTGTTAGGCATCATCAGTGAGGCATAGCTGATATCTCTCTAGGCACCGTGAGTACTATGACTTATTTACAGGCTTGCAAGTTATTTTTTTTATCTTTTTTTAATGCAATGTGAATTCACAGCTCTATAATAGTGCTATTTATAAGGTTGATTACTGTTATATTAATTTGTTTCTTACTTTATGATTTTCACCATTTAGTGAATTAATACCTTCCCTACATAAGGGATTTTCACTAAGGCGTATTTGCTTTACATATTGTGGACTTTGTGTCTGTTTTCCTTATTTAGGTTTAGAAACATAGAAACATAGAATGTGACGGCAGATAAGAACCATTCGGCCCATCTAGTCTACCCAATTTTCTAAATACTTTCATCAGTCCCTGGTCTTATGTTATAACTATGATGGCCTTATGCCTCTCCCATGCATGCTTAAATTCCTTCACTTTGTTTACCTCTACCACTTCAGCTTGAAGGCTATTCTATGCATCCACTACCCTCTAAGTAAAGTAATACTTTCTGATATTATTTTTAAAACTTTGCCCCTCTATTTTAAGACTATGTCCTCTTGTTGTGGTAGTTTTTCTTCTTTTAAATATAGTCTCCTCCTTTACTGTGTTGATTCTCTTTATGTATTTAAATGTTTCTATCAAATCCTGCCTGTCTCGTCTTTTCTCCAAGCTATACATGTTAAGCTCCTTGAACCTTTCCTGGTAAGTTTATCCTGCAATCCATGAACCAGTTTAGTAGCCCTTCTCAGAACTCTTTCCAAAGTATCAATATCCTTCTGAAGATACGGTCTTCAGTACTGCGTACAATACTCCAAGTGAGGTCTCACCAGTGTTCTGTACAATGGCCTGAGCGCTTCCCTCTTTCTACTGCTAATTCCTCTCCCTATACAACCAAGCATTCTGCTAGCGTTTCCTGCTGCTCTGTTACATTGTCTGCCTACCTTTAAGTCATCTGAAATAATTACCCCTTTCCTCAGATGTTGAGGTTGGTAGGGTATCAAATATTCTGTACTCTGCCCTTGGATTTTTAAGTCCAAGATGCATTATCATGCACTTATTCACATTAAATGTCTGCTGCCACAGCTCTGACCATTTTTCTAATTTAAAACAGAAAAAGGTACTGGCGCTAATATAAGATGAAAAGAAACTGTTAAATGACACAAAAATTACAGCTGCTATATCACCAAATTCTTATCTTTGAATGCTAGAATTGTGAAGTGATGGTGAAGTGCTGAATATTAATAACCCGTAACAAACGTGCTATAGTGCAGACACATGAGTGTATACTATACCTTAATAGATATATAAAATTCCAATTGTGGTATGCAGTACCTTAAAAATATAAACAACAAAACCAAACGTAGTGTTTACTGTGGTAAAAAGTGAATATAATTTTAAAAAGAGGGAAATATGCTCACTCACACTTTTAGGAGCTAAGTATGTATAGCTCACTAGAATCACTTGAGGGGTCCGTAAAGGCGATCCTATCCCTTCTTTGATGTGTGTTCTTTGCTTTCTTGATTTTTAAAGCAAGGAAAAACACATATGGTGCAATATCGTAGATCTTAAATGGTGATGGAAAAAGTCAAATTTGTACTTACAAGCCCAGAGCCATCCACATCGGCTATGATCAAAGGGTGTATGTGGTTAAGGACCACAATCCTTCTTTAAAGAAGAGCAGGAACAATGCCAGTAGGGATTTAAAGGTATATATACATTTATTTAAATATTAAAATATTTATAAAAAATATAAAATAAAATACCACTATCTAGGCATCAAAAGTCCAATACATCAAAGGCTGTTCCTCACAAGATTCCCAGGACGTGTTTCGCCGTGAAGGCTTCTTCAACTGGATGTGGAAAATATATACTCTTTTATGTATCTTTGGATATTAACCTAATGCTACGTACATTAACTGATTCCACAGTTTCGTAGGAACGGACATTACATCATCTTAAATACAAGTATCTATATACTATAGTTATGTCCATCTTATTACTCTTTTTATTGAAACAATTACACACAGAATCTTTTTTATTATGTACATAATTTATTTGGTTAAAATACAGAAAGAATATGTTTTTGATTCTTTCTTATTATTTTTGTTACTATGTCAACCGGATATACTGTTTGGGGAATGAACCGCTAGCTGGAACGCATAATTTATGATGTATCGTCATACAAACACGTGATCGGAAGTGAAGAACGTACCCGGAAACCAACTGAAAGAGAGGTTGAAATGCTGGGCGTCACTGTTTCCATGGTGAACGCCCGCGATTTTGCCAGACGGAAATCAATTACTGTACCCTTGGATGGGTACATATAGCAGGAACCTGTCCCAAAGAACATGCAAATACTTTTTTTCCACATCCAGTTGAAGAAGCCTTCATGGCGAAATGCGTCCTGGGAATCTTGTGAGGAACAGCCTTTGATGTATTGGACTTTTGATGCCTAGATAGTGGTATTTTATTTTATATTTTTTATAAATATTTTAATGTTTAAATAAATAAATATATACCTTTATATCACTACTGGCATTGTTCCTGCTATTCTTTAGAGAAGGATTGTGGTCCTTAACCACATACACCCTTTGATCAGAGCCGATGTGGATGGCTCTGGAATTGTAAGTACAAATTTGACTTTTTCCATTACCATTTAAGATCTATGATATTGCACCATATGCGTTTTTCCTTGCTTTAAAAATCAAGAAAGCAAAGAACACACATCAAAGAAGGGATAGGGTTGCCTTTACGGAACCCTCAAATTTTTCTAATTTACCTATATAATTTGCCTTTTGGCTTATTTGTCTTATCCTTCCTGGAACATCAACCCTGTTGCAAATTTTAGTATCATCAGTTTGGACACTGTTTCTTTCATTGCTACATTTCTGCACTTGTTACGCTGTGGCAGATCTGTTTTATGTAGATCTGTACTATATTCTAACAGTATTATATTGTCATTTTAGAGTTTGATCTGTATAAAGTCTGTGTGTTTTATTCAATAACGCTATATTTATTATATCTATTTCATTTTTATTAACAATAATTATTATAATAGGAGTGTTCATACCACATTTATATTTGTTTCTTTCTATATTGCATAACTTTTTGCTGCTATATCTTTGTTTGCACAATTTCGTTTCCCCTGTTCTTTATTGAATAAAATAAATAATAATAAAAAAAACAAAACATAAAACATTCTTAAAATCAAAGCACTGAATGGCAATATCAATTTTCTGAGTTAATGAAATATCGGGAAATGTTGCTGCCAATAACAATGTAGTCAATGGAATAGTCACTGTTAAGTGCAGTCACTGAACTTGCAACAATTCAATAAATGTAAGAGGTGCACGAATCCTGAATATATTTAAAAAAAATAAACTTAACCTGATATGGAGTCAAATGCCTTTTGAGTTGCATCCATGTTTTATACCACTGTCCTAAGCATTTAAATACCAAAATACATATACCTAGGATAATTTGATTGAATCACTTACAATTTTCAGTGAAATGCTCTTAAAAATCTGCTAAACATATTTTAAACTTCCAAGTCCCTCTGATTGTAAACATATCTGGAAATATATATATATATATAAATATTCTGTCCAGTAACATTAAGATTATGTATATTTTATATGGCTGAAAGTATAATCATAGTATTCAGAGCCTAAGTGACTGACACTTGCATTTTGGCAGTTTTAACAATTTTCATCGAATAAGTAAAGATGTATTTCAGAATCCATTTCATTACTCACTAAATTTGATTTCTAGACATTGGGGAGACTCCATGATATCAGAAAGAAATAATAGGACATTGTTATTAAATTCAGGACTGTTACATATTTTAAGCTGACTGCTGCATTGGGAAATAAATTCTCATTTTTGAGTTGTACAAAAAGTATTTCTAGTGCCAAGGGCATAAACGGATTTAACGTTATTTAAGCCAGCATTGTCAATCCATTGCCTTGAATTTTTAATGATGATCACTAAATAATAAAAACTCCCTAAAGGTGTCCATTGCACATCATCATTACTAAAAATTCTCTCCCATGTTTTATGGAAACAATCTGTCTTTAGATGTGATCTTTAGTGGCAGGGAATTGTGACCTTTAAAACACGTGGAAACCAGACTCAATCACTTTTCTCAAGCAAGTAAATAGGAACAGAAATTTAAAATTGTGCTAACTTAATCTTACTTGTAAATGGTAATAAAAAATAAGCTCTAATCAGTCTAATTTTTATTTTAGAAAAAAAGATTGGTTTATATAAGAGGTATAGTGTCTTTCTTAAACCCTATAGAATATTACATTTCTCATTATTCATAATTTTAAATGTATAAGATAGTTTTTAGAATATATAAACATTAAAATGTTTTACCAAATTCTAATATTTTAATATGGAAAGGAAATATGCAAAGAAAGTAAACCATGTGTATAAGCAGCATTTAGTTAAAATCTAAGATGATATATATAAAAAGTCAGGAGCCTGTAGTTGTGACAGGAGTTATCTGACCACCTAAACTGAACCACATCCCCTTATTGCTGCTCAGATGTTGTAGTGGACCCTAAACTTTTGGAAAACCCGTGCTCTCTGCAACTGTCACCTCGCCTAACTGACCACGTACTTCAAACTCACTGGTT